TGTTTATGTTTAGGGGGAGGGGAAAGGGGGAGAAAGAAAGGGAGAGAAACATTGATGTGAGAGAGGAGCATTGATCTGTTGCCTCTCGGACGTGCCCCATCTGGGGACTGAACACGAAACCCAGCACAGGCCCTCGCCGGAAATCAAACCGGCAGCCATTCGCTTTGCGGGACGATGCCCAACCCACTGCGCCACACCGGTCCCGGCTCCTAGCGGATTCTTTACAACAGATGCCAGCTATATTAGTTTTCTACTACTGCTACAACAAATAATTGCAAACTTAGGGTTTTGCAATGACACAAATTTATTATCTCAGCTCTGCTGCTTTCTTTTGGGGGCTTACCGGGACCAGCCCTCCCCTTGCCTCTCGTTTCTACAGGCTGCCCCCGTTCTCTGCCACGCGGCCCCTGCACTGCGACCTCTGGCCCATGTCCCAGCTCTGGCCTCTGGCTTCCCTCCTGTTAGGACCCTGTGATTATCTTGGGCGCACCCCCATAAGCCAGGAATAAACTCCCACCTCCAGATCTTTAACCCAGTCACATCTGCAAGGCCCCTTTTGCCATGTTAACAAAGTCGAAGGTTTCGGGGACCAGGCTGTGGGCATCTTTAAGGGATCGTTATTCTGCCTCCCATGTCATCTCGCTGCCTTCTGCCCTGAAGCTCATATCCAGACAGTTCCCTGCTTGGGGTCGAGATGCAAGACAGGGAGGTTCTAGCAGAGGCAGGGGCTCCCCCTCCACCTGCCCAAGGCCCTCCTCTTTGGGTGACTGACACCAAGAATCCACTTCCTTTAGAGTGCACCTGGTCCTCTTCCTCAGGGGGTGGCCTTTCTCTCTGGCTGCTGCAGGCAAGTTCCTCAGAATGCCACTCAGCGTCTGCAACATCGGTACTCCTCCCTCCAAGCCACAGCAGGAAGACCTCCTTGAAAAAACTCAGAGAGCCAAGGACTGAAGCCAAGACATCACAGCCAGACACTTGTCCCCCCGCCCCCAGTCCCATGCCCTGCCCACCCAGCCTACTGTCTTCTTTACTGAGAATTGTTTTCACGAAGGGAAGGAGAGTGCTTGGCTTACAGACATCTATGTTGAGTAGGAGGCACTCCTGCAGGGGGGAAGAGACAGAAGGAACCACCTTCACGCCCTGAAGCTGCGGATGCCAGGGCCCCCCCTGAAGTCCCAGTTGAGACTTGAGGCGACTGAGCTCTGGCTGACATCATGGGAAACTCTGAGCCAGTGGGTCTAGCTGAGCTGCCTGGACTCCTGACCCCCAAAACTGTGAGATAACAAATGCAGGTGGTCTTAAGCTGCTAAGTCTCGGGGTGATTTGTTATGCGGCAATAGCTAGCTCATGCACACTGCAAAATATCAGTCAACACCGAAGGATCTCAGTGTCATCACACTTTAATTCAGTAAATCCCACTGAACGTCAGCTCTGTGCCAGGCACGTAGTACAGGGGTTCTAAGGCTGCAGTGATGGGCCAGGCCAGACCAGACCTCGCCCTCCCAGAGCTCCCAGTGGATGGGCAGGGAAACGGAGCACAGGCAAGGGGAGAGCAGAGCTAGCGTCCGGAGGAAGGGGCATTTAGGGTGTCTTAAGGGATGGCTAGGATGTCAAAAGGTAGGAAACCCCCTGGGCTCAACCATCCAGGCTCCCCTGAGACAGTGCTGTGAGCAGAGGTGGCTTGGGGCAGAGACCTGCACTGCAGACCTGCAGCTTTTCCTCTGGGTTTGCATCCCGCCCCACGCCCTTGCTAGCGCCGTCTTGGGCAAGTTCCCAGACCGCTCTGTGCCTATGTTGCCTCATCTCTAAGACAGGGCTCAAATAGGTGCTAAGCGAAGTTGGTTCATTTACAGTGAGCACCTTAGCACTGTGCCTGGCATACAATAGATGGAAGTTATTGTTATTTTTTCAAGGCACACAGTCTGATATTTGTGCCATGTCTAGTTTTCTTATTCTTTTTTTTAAAATTTTTTTTATAAAGCTTGATTTATTGATTTTTTTTTTTTTTGAGAGAGAGAGGAAGGGAGACAAAGGAAAGGGAGAAGGAGAGAGAAATACCGATTTGCTGTTGTGCTTATTGGTGCATTTGTTGGTTGCTTCTTTTATGTGCCCTGACTGGGGATCAAACTCACAGCGCTGGCACATCAGGATGACGCTCTAACCAACTGAGCCACCTGGCCAGGGCTCTCCCTCCCTGTTTTCCTTCTTTCATTTGTTGAGCATCTGCCGGGCACCATGCACTTCAAGGCACCGTGTGGCCCTTGAAGGGCTTACCACCTGCGAGCCAGTTCTCATCGGCCTCATCTATATTCACCCTATTTTGTATCCATGTTGTACCTTTTGCTACAGAATTTCATATATTATCTTATTTAATCCCCACGATCACCCGGGCAGCCTGACGTTATTATTTCCATTCTATTCGCATGCATTATGTCTGTTACCGAAGAACAACAGGGTGGCGGTGGAGAGGAGAGGCCCGGCGTGGCCCTGCGGGCTCAGAAGAGAAAGAAGATCCACCCAGAATTCCTGATGAGTTCGCTGTCACCCTCTCAGAGTGCATCTGACAGACACCTCAGTGACAGTAAAGCAACGTTCATTATCTGGTGACATTTCGCAGGCGGCTTTCTCCCCCTGCTTCCCCTGAGAAGCGGTAACAAAAGTTCGTCTGATCTTCCTGGGCCCACCTCCCGAGCCTGGCCACCCCCATTCCTTTTCATCCTGCGTCTGAGGCAGCCGCTCTCTGTCTCCAGGATCTGCCGCCAGGCGACACAGTGGGCCCTGGGGAGCCCAGGGCAGCTTCCTTCCTCGCTTCAAAGGCCTTTGGAGAGCTGCCCTGCGTGGGGTGAATGCATTTTATTTCCTAGGAGGCTGGGCAGCTGCCGAGAGGGGCAGGGGCACCTTGGGTATCCCCCTCCCTCCATCCCCAGGATCTAACAAGGAGGAAAAAAGGGGGTAAAGGCTGGGACCTTGTCACTGCTGTGATAGTGGCTGAGCAGGACTTCCCGGGGGCCAGACTGGGCCAGTGCGGGGGGCCTGGCTGGACAGAGCCTGGGCTCCGGGGAGCTGTCCACGGGACCCTGGGAGGCGGGACTTCCAGGACGCTGGTGGAGAAGGGCGGCCTTTGGAAGGCCCAGGTGTTCCCCTGGGAAGCTGGTGAAGGGGGCTGGCATCAGATCTTGCTGCAAACAGGAGGCTGGGTAGGCAGCGGGCGAGGGGCCGCCGTAGCCCGGCGCCGCAGGCTGCCTCGGTCCTGGCGTGCAGGGGCAGGAGCCAGTCCCGCGGCGGCAGGGGCAGGGGATTCTGCAGCCTCACCGCCTGGGACTGGCAGAAGGCCGACCGACTGGCCCCCTGGAGGTTGTTCGGAGGGCTGGGGGCTGTAGCGTGGTGTCTCGCAGGGTTGTGTGGGCGGCGGAGCGTGTTCCTGGATTGAGTGTTGTGGCGTGTGATTTGGGCCTTGCGGGGTTACGCAGTGACCGGAGGTCGTTGTCACCTGTGAGGTGTGGCCAGATGTTGAGTGCTGGGCCCAAGGAAGGCAGAGGGCCTCCTCCCTCAAGGGAGCGGATGGGGAAGGACGGAGCGCAGGCGTCCCAGCTCCATAGCGCCACTCCCTGCTCCTGGGAGCTGGGTGGGCCGAGCGGGGTGCTCTCCCAACAGGGCAGTCCCCCGGGGGGCCTGCCGCAGCCACCCTCCTCGGGGAGGCCCGGCCTCAGAGCACACGTCCTGGCCTCCTGCTACCGCGTCCCCGCTGCCGCACAGGTCAGTCCCTGATGACTCAAAGGCACCGAAGCCCGAGGCAGAGGCCACGACCGTGTTCCCGGGGCCGACCTCCAGGGCACGAGGTGGACAAGTCTTCCTCCTCCTCACAGGAGGACCCAGCCTGTGCGTGAATTCAGGGAGTGTACCAGGGGAAGAGCGTCTGGAAGCGTTTCTGCTCAAGGGAGGAAGCGAGGAGCTGGGGGCCAGGCAGGCGCTGCCTTCCCAGGCTGTGCGCAGCCATGGGGACCCCCAGGGACCAGATCTCCTGCCCGAGGAGGGTGCTGCCGGAATCCTCCAAACACAGACCCCTCGGCCCCTCCCCGCAGTTCCATCGCATCCATTAGTGGGAGGAGCACTAGGCCAGTAGGTAGAGTCCCTGGTGACTTTCAGTGATTGGCTGCCCTTCGTTTGTTCATCTGCATAAGTGTTATGGGGATAGTAATTGCCTCTGCTCTACTGGTCATTTTTTAATCCTCACCCAAGGACACGCTTATTGATTTTAGGGGGGAGGGCAAGGAGGGAGAATGAGAAGAAGAGAAACATTGATTGGTTGCCTTTTGCATGTGTCCTGATCAGGGACCGAACCCAAAACCCAGGCATGTGCCCTGACCAGGAATTGAACCTGCGATCTTTAGGTTTACGGGACAGCGCTTCAACCAACTGAGCCACACTAGCCAGGCTGTTCTACTGGTTATTTTGCGATGCAGTGAGATAATGTAGGGGAGAGAGCTTTAGAGAATGTACGCAATGCCACACGGAGGGAAGGTATTATTGCTAAACCATCCTGAGTGCTTCCTCATGGCTCATGGGAGTTCCCGGCCCTTCGATGTGCTTCCTCCAAGGAAGAGCAAACCCAGAGCTTCTTTATCTTCCTCATGAAAGTGAGTCACCTGGGAGCTGGTTAAAATGCAGATTCTGAATCGGTGGGTCCAGGCTGGGCCTGGATTCTGCCTCCCCCCACACCCGGGTGATGCCTCTACTGCCGGGCTCAGGACCTGCCGGTGAGTAGCAGGGAGTTGAAGTATCCCCCTCCCGAGGGAGGAGAAGGAAATCTTTCTGTGGTGAGTTGACGAGAAACAACTTAGAAAATGCAGTGGCAGAACATGTTTATTGAAACAGCTGGCAGTTAAGGATGGCCTGTCGGTCACAGCCCATACACGTTGGTCTTAGGAAAAGCAGAGAGCAGGAGGCAGGGGGAGGGAGAGAGGCAGAGAGACACAGGGGGCCAGGGAGCTCGGGACAGATCACTTCCTAGACTTCTCCGCAGAGCAGCCACCGTTGGTCTTACCGAGAGAGTCCGTGCTGCCCATTTGTGAATCCCTGCTGTGCAGGATTTTGTTGATTTCTCTCGGGATGCTGTGCCTCTCCTCGTTTGCCGTCTCCCGGTGGTAGAAGTAGTTGAAGTTGGAGACAATGACGGGCACGGGGAGGGAAATGGTCAGGACCCCTGCGATGGCACACAGAATGCCCACTATCTTGCCTCCTGCAGTGGTGGGGCACATGTCGCCATAGCCCACTGTCGTCATGGTGACCACTGCCCACCAGAAGCCATCAGGGATGCTTGAGAAATGGGACTCTGGCTCGTCCACCTCGGCAAAGTAGACGGCGCTGGAGAAGAGGATGACCCCGATGAAGAGGAAGAAGATGAGCAGCCCCAGCTCCTGCATGGACGCCTTCAGCGTCTGCCCCAGGACCTGCAGCCCCTTGGAGTGGCGGGAGAGCTTGAAGATGCGGAAGACACGCACCAGCCGGATGACCCTCAGGATGGCCAGGGACATGTTCTGCTGGGCCGTCGGTTCCGTCTCCTGGACCAGCTCGGTGATGACAGTCGCAAAGTAGGGGATGATGGAGATGATATCGATGAGGTTCATGATGTTCCTGAAGAAGCCCGTCTTGCTGGGGCAGACCACGAACCGCAGCGCCAGTTCGAAGGTGAACCACACGATGCAGACGGACTCCACCATGAAGAAGGGGTCGGTGAACACAGAGTGCGAGAGGGCGGCCTTGCTGGCATTGCGGCTGGGCTCCCGCACCACCTTCAGCTCCCGGTCCTCTCGGAACTCGGGCAGGGTCTCCAGGCAGAAGATGGTGATGGAGATGATGACCACCAGCACGGAGACCGTGGCCACGCCACGGGCGGCGCTGGAGCTCTCGGGGTACTCAAAGAGGAGCCAGAACTGCCGGTGGAAGTCATTGCTGGGCAGCGGCGTCTCGGGGTCTTTGATGAAGCCTTCGTCATCCCGGAACTCGCTCATGGCCTCGCTGCCCAGCTCGTAGAAGGTGATCTCATCGGCGAAGACGTCTATAGGGACGTTGGCCGGACGCCGGATTTTCCCACCAGATTGGTAATAATATAGGATTCCGTCAAAACTGGGCCTGTTCCTGTCAAAGAAATACTCGTTCCTCATGGAGTCAAAATACTGCATCCTTTTCTCCCGGTCTCCCAGCAGGGTCTCTGGGAACTTATGGAGGGTTCGGAGCTGGGTCTCGAACCTCAGCCCAGCGATGTTGATGATCACCCGCTGGTTTCCTTCGTTCAGGGCTGCCGGCTCGGGCTCGGCGGGGTCGGGCAGGTCGCCTGGGAGCTTGCAGAAGGCTGTCTCGTGGCCAGTGCTGTCACTGATGAGGACCCTCCAGCTGGGGAAGGGGCTGCTCCCAGGCCGGCCTTTCAGGCTGGTGGGGTTCAAATCTGCGGCGTAGCCTGGCCGTTCCTGGATTTCGTCTGAGTTATCGAAATCCACCAGAGCGACCTCCATTTCTTTCCAGCCACATGCATCCATCCTGGGGGACTCAGGGAAGCAGCATCAAGACCCGCAGTCTTCCCAGCCTGCTGTGAGCTGTGGAGAGGAAGAAGCCCGTCACACAGGAGCTGGGACAGGGGACAGCTGGCCCTTGACCGTTGACGTAAGGCATGTCATTGGATTAAGGAATGATTTCTGTTTCACTGGGGAAGAAACCTCATGGCTGTTTTGGCAACATTCCGCCCTCGGTACCAGCTCACCCCCCAGCCTCCCCCTGCCCCGAGCCTGCACGTGCTAGTAACTGGAAGGAACTGCGTGCAAAGAGCCTGGCTGAGAAACGAGAACTTCCTCCAGCTGAGGAGGGTCTCCACACACGACAGCACACCGAGGCCACAATGAAAGAGGGAGCTCATGTTTCTTTTTTTTTTTTTTTTACAAGATTCAATGAAAATTATTTGGAAGTTCATGTTTCCAAATAATAAAACATATAATTTTGCCTTTGCGTGAAGTCCTCCAGGGCACCCAGCGCTTTTGTGCGCGTCTCCCGCATGCCCTTCCTTCCTCTCACACTCGAACGCCCGGCCCTCACGTGTTCTTTTGGTGGTATCCTCAAACTCTGTCTAGAACACACTCATTTCTCATCGCCTCCGCCACTGCCTCTTGGGCTGTGCGGTGGGGCGGCGTGGGTACCTGGCCCCGTTTGCTGTTTCTGGGAAGGGAGGGCGTGAGGCTGCGGGCCAGGTGGGCGCCGGCCATGTCCTCCGCGGCTGCCGCTGTCCGTGCGCAGCGCCTGCTCTGCAGGGGGCTCCGGGGCCTGCTTTGAGCACACAGCGGATGAGGTAACATATATTAAATGCCTGGCGGGACGATCATCAAATTGTAGCTGTGGTTTGAGCCAGTTTCTCCACATAACAGGAAATTCAGAAGCCCAAAGGCATGTTTTTTTTTTGTTTTTTTTTTTTGCCTAAGTCCAGGATATTTATGGGGAATGATTTGATTTCTAAGCAATCATTTCAGGCAGGGGGGAAGTGGGCGAGTGTGCGTGTGTGTGCTGGGGGTGGTTACGGAGAGCGTGCCCGCTGGGCTAGGGTGCCCGCATCGCCCAGGGCCCCTTCCTCAGGTCCCCTCGTGTTTTGATTTCAGCTTCAGCGCACTGAAGGCAGGCCGGCCGGGCTGAGGGCTGCAGCCCGGGGACAGACAGCTGCCCTGACAGATGACGAGGACAGCCTGCAGCCTGGTGGTCTTCCCAAAGCGATGCCACGTCCACGTTCGCTTATCTTAGTACTACGTGACAGTAATCTACTAAGTGACAATAGCTGTGTGAGCCAAGACTGGAGTTGGCTCTGTCCCCGCTTCCCTGCTGGGCCCTGGGAGGAGCTGGGTGCTCTGGGTGGGGACACCCCGAGAGGGTGGGGCTGCGGGGCTGGGGCTTGGGGGCGCTGCTCCCATTGCGCTGGCCAGGGCCCCGGATGTGCTCAGTCTGCAGAGTGTGGGGTCCTTTGTGGCTTCCCCTGAGTCCTGCACTTCCTCCTCTGCCCAGGAGCCGAAGGTCTCACTGCTCTCGCCGGTACCCAAGGCTGAACTCTCCTCCACAGCTGAAGTGAATGCCACATTCAGGAATCTTCTGCAGCATCTGATTCCACTCAGACACCCCTTGCTTGCCTGGCACAGTGCAGTTGAGACCTTGTGTTGAGTTAGAACAACCTCTTTCCCCCTCTGAGCATTGTTGTATTTTCCTGTTTCCAGACCACTATTTGTGCAGGTCTAATGTCACCTGAAGATGACGCTCTCCCTAAGGACACCAGGTGACAGCAACCTTGCTCTCCTGAGAATCCCCAGACAGGGCTTTGACACATTGTTTGATCATCTCCCAGAGCTTTGTCATCTTTGTACATGGGGACAGGCTGGTCCGTGCACGGGCACAGTGGAGCTTACACCCCAACCTTTGCTCGCTCCCCTTCCCCTAAGCAGGTCTGGGTTTGGATCTCCGCTCTGTGCTCGCTGGGCATGTGGTCTTGGGCTCTGCTGTCTTCCTCTCTAAATGGGTCTAATCACACCTTCCCTCATGGTTCTCAGCGGGGAGGAGGAGGTAGTGTGCGTTGCGAATAGGGTCCCTGGCACACAGGAGGTGTTCCTAGATGGAGCCGCTATCCCTTCCAGCCCTGTTGGTCCTGGGAAGCTTCCCTGGCTGCCTGTGTTCGTCTCCAGAGACCAGTTGCTCCTCGTGCTCTGTCGCACTTCCTGTTTGGGATGCGTGGCATCGTGGTGCAACTTCCTGCACTCAGGGTCTCGCGGGGGCTCCATCGTGTGCCTCTCCCATAGCAGCTGTCCTGCAGCCATCCAGGCTGTACGTCTGGCCTCTCAAGGTCACAGAGCTATACGGAACATCCGTGTCCCGAGCCCCTCCCCACCATGGCCTTTCCCATCACTGGCCTTTGGTTGCTTAGCAACCTCAACCCCTCCTACACACTCAGGTGACTGGTCTAGAGGGCCCCAGGGATGGGGATGCACAGCTGTGCAGAGGGTGAGCCCAGAAGTCACAGGGCTGGTGCAGAGGGGGGACAAGAGGCTGGAAACTGGGCCTGCTGTGGGCAGGGGGTGAGTTCCCAGTGCCTGCTGTTGAGTGCAGGAGAGGACTGCGGGAGGAGGGAGTGGCTGGAAGGCCGACCTCGGGCTGGCCTAGGGCTGGAGAGCAGAGGACGGTCCATGTGACTCAGGCCAAGTGGCCTTCCTGGTACCTGCCTCCTAAGTGCGGGTGAGGAAGTGATGTTACCACATAGAAAGTTCACAGCGGGCAGCAGGTGCTCAGCGAGTGCTGGTAGCTTGTATCGGCGGGGCCACGGGCTGGCATTTGGGGTGGGGTGGCTGTTTCTTTGTTCCTTCTCCTGGCACTAGTAAAATGAGAGGTCACATACCTACCGGTGCCATAGCCCGGCCCTTTCAGAGGCTGTCCCTGCCCTGGCGGAGGCCACTGGAGGCTGGGGACAAGTTGTATGGCTTGAAGGCTCAGCTTGTCTGCCTGTGGTGAAGCTGCTTCCTCTGGTCACCCTGTCCCCTACACTCAGGCTGGCCAAGTGTCCCCACACAGGATCGGAGGGTAGCTGCGGGTCATCGTCCCCACGGAACAAAAGAGGAAACTGAAGTGTACAAGGCGTGAGACTGCCCAGAGACTTCAGCCGCTCCATGATGAAGTCATGACTCAAACCCAGGTGTTCTAGCCCCAAAGCCAACCTTCTTCCCAGTCAGTCCCGCAATAGCAGACCCACCACCACACACGGTCCATTCTCATCCAGCCCGGGACTGCGCCCAGGACACATACACACAGAGACGTGGATGCACATACGACCACACATGCAGTCACACACAGAGACACTCAGACACACATATCAAGATGGTGACACGTGCCTACTCACACAAATAGTCACAGCCACGTATGTGCTGCACATAAAATTACCACGACAGTGGACGCATGCATAGATCTGTGCTCGTGTGCAAATATGCAGAGATGCCTGTGGGCTCCGTGCACGAGCCTGCAGCCCCAGAACCCACCCTGGTTCACAGGAGTCTGTCCAGGTGGCCCTGACTCTCCCCTGACCCAGTCTGTCTACCTCTTGGAACAAGAGGGTGCTCATCACTGGGAGCAACTGAAAGGCGACAGGGAGAGCTGTGGCTTCCTTCCTGGTTAGAGGGGGGTGGCCCGGGGCGGGGTGGGGGGAGGGGCTTGTCTGTCTCTCTCCTTGCTGGTGGCTCAAGGACAGAGCCATTGTCCTGTAGAGATGGAATGACAACAGTTCTTTTGTTTCAAACCTGAGCAGGGGCAGCAGACGCTGAAAAGAAGGATCACAGGATAATTCACTGCAGCCCAGACAGCGGGCGGGCTTACAGCTTAGCCGTGCTTCCTCTCGGAGGCTGGAAGAGCCGCCTCCTCCGACCCTGGGGAACCGCCTTGGCTGTGAGAGTCAGCCCGGAGGCAGCACTCGCGGGCCTTTTCCCGACCTCCTGATTTTGTGCACCAGCAAGGCCTGGTATTGCTCTCCTGTGGGCGCATAACCATAGTTACAACCTTGACTCCGGAGTCTGCGGGCCTAGACTTGCACCTGTGACCCACTAGGCCTGGGCAAGGCATTTAGCCTGTGCCTCAGTTTCTTCACCGGTGAAACGGGGCGACTCCTGAGGTCACAGGCTGCCGCGATGATTCAGGAGTGAACGCTTGCGCTGAGCGAAGGTTGGTTCCGTGTGTTTAGGAGCCCGAGCCCGGTGGCCCCGGCAGCAGCGGCCTGGCCCTGGCCTGGTTTTGAGAGCCTAACGGGGACCTCCCTTTGGGCTCCTGTTTCGTCCGAGTGCACGTTATCTTCTTCGAACCCCACGTTGTGCCCAGTCCTGTTCTCTGTTCAGGGAGAGGTATCCCTCTCCCCAACCTTCCCACCCCATCAGCCTCCTCATCCTGTGGGATCGGCTGGCCTCTGTGAGATCCTGTGTCCCCACCGCAGCCCTGCCCCTCTCGCAGGGCCGGTCGGCTCAGACCTCACCCCTGCCCGATTGCTGCCGCAGCTGCCCCACGTGGTTACCGGATGCTCCTCCTCATAGGTGGGTCCAGTCTCCCCCGCATGAGGCCTCCAGCACTTCCTCCGCACCCCGATCAAAGCCCCCACCATCCTCAGCCTGGGACTGTGTGCGCCTCTTTTCCTCCCAAGCCATGGCGGGACCCTGGCCTCATCCAGTCTCTGCAGGGAGTTGGGGGTCTGTGGCCCCGCGTGGTATCCTTCGGGGGGCTGGAGTGGGGAGGGGACCCTGCTCCAGCTGGCACTCACCCACCGGACCCTCCCCCTCCCCTCCCTTTCCTGCACAGGCAGCCCAGGGCTGGCAAAGCAGGCCTTGTGTTTAAATGTTGACACCGGACAACAAAACGTCACATACCCGCCTCTCCTTTCTTCAAGCGCCCCTGGCCTTGAGTTATTTCCTTGGGATCCCCTCCCTAAGGGACCACCGCGGAGCTGTGTTCCAGGATGTACTGCATTAAGCTGTATGGCCTTCGCAAA